CCCCCTCCCCTACCCACTTTGATGCATTTTTCAAATTTCGCTTTGGGGCGGAGTTATCTTTTCCAGGTGGGGGGGGGTAAGATACACTTTAAGTTGTGCGTACGAGTGATTTAGGAGAATTTGTGGCATTCACCAGTTTTCTCGTATTGTAAGATTTTTTTCAGATATGAACAAAATTCACGAGTGATCCAGACCTGTCATATATTTTATGAGCAGTCAGTCTGCTGTTATCCAGACAGATTTTCTTCATTAATAACTCCATATTTCATTAGTTTGAAGATATTCGGAGTTGAAAATAAATCACACTCCATAATTATGTTGACAATAGGTTGTTCTGTTTGAACTGGAATTAGATTTTAAATGTAACTAACAACATAAATTGGTTAGAATAAATCAAATTGGCTTTTAATGCTGTTGTATAGCACTGCAATATTAATATGAAGATCACAAACTAAAAACCAACTTAAATTATGTATTTATTGAAGTTTTTTCAGAAATGCATCTGACGCTTGCGACGGTCGGAAGGTGGGAGACGGGGTGGGGGTGGGGGGGTAGTGATGTGCAACTGCTCTTCTTATGAAAACTATGTAACACAGTTGAATTTAAAATATTTGACCAAAGAAAAACCGGAGCAGGACTAGAGAAGGATGAATATGATTTAGATTTTTATTTCTGTGTCTGTATTATGACCCAAAGGAGACACGACATTAACAGCAGTCGTCATTTCATTCCTCGGCTTTAAAGCAGATCCTTTAATTCCACAGCTGACCTGCTAAAAATTACAGTTTTTATTTCTGGATCTCTGAGAGCAGGACTTCAATCTCTGAACTCGTAAAGTTCTTCTTTTTTACTTTGCGATGTCATTTATGAATGGACACTTCCTGGTATGTGAGGCAAGAAACATATCCTTGTATGGTTTTTTTAGGGTCATAATTATGCTAATCACCTCTCCTCGTGCACGAGCACCTGATAGCATTCATCAGTTTATGCTCCTCATTTACACACTTTTCCTGAAGATAGAAGAGTTTGTTGAATCTGACGTGACATGTTCGTACGAACAAAAGTAAGAGAAATTTAGGAGAAGAATACGAACCTGTTCTTGCATGAGGTCCATTGATCCCAAACACATCAAAACTGGGTTCTGCCAGGATAAACCCTCAGACCTTATGCAAATTTGAGACTATGCTTAAAAGCCATGTCCATGCCAGAAACTGTACAATCATTCCATCCTAGTAAAATAGTGGTTTAAATAACATTCATGCTAATAATGAGTGGATGAAAACATCTGGCCACAACACTCCATTATTGAGTAATTTATTAGATCAGATACGAAACCACATTAGTCAAGACAAAGATTCTTTCTACACCGCATTAAAAAAGAAATCATTGATCAAAGTGATGCCTTCATCTCAGGAAGCAAAAGTCTTTGTATTATAAAACTGTGTTTGATAAAATATGATAAAGTGAAAAAAAAAAAACCCACAAGTACCCAGCTGTTTTGGTTTTCACAAAACCATACTTCAGACCTTCTCCAGTGGGCTTTTGTGTCCATTAGAGTGATGCAATTTCATGCAGTAACCCAAAAAAGGCCCATAAGAACAGTATCGTCAAGATGATTGAAACCCCTTACTGAGTGAGACAGGAAGGAAGTTTCATAGAAGGCCAAGAACAAAACCTTAAAAGATTACTTATTTGTGAGACGTGTCAAAGAAGAAGAGCAGTGGATGACTCAGAAAGAAAAACTGTTTTGTTACAATAATTGTTTTTTAAACAATAATGTTGACGATACGTTTAATATCAAGTTTGATTTCCACCACATAATATGCAGTCGACAGAAAAGAAAAGGTCAAATACTTACAGGAATTTTCCATTTATACGCGGGCCACCCTGAAGCCTGGACTCAGAGTCCTCCCGTGTTATTGCTCCGTGGAACCAGGGCATTCGCTCATGAGCAGTGGTGGCAATTAGTTTCTCAAGCTGAGGCCTCTGGCTGATAATGGCCTGCTCAAGGACTGCTCCCTGCAGACATCATACATGACACAGACTGTAACATCGAACTCACACTTACATTGTGTTCATGTGCATAAAGCTTACAGATAAACTGCTAAAGTCTGAGTCTTTAATCTTTACTATCGAAAGAGAAATTTCTTCCCCTTGGCTCACTGATAAAATGTGTCCGGAGCCACAAAACATGCTATAACTGTGATTGTCAACTGGTGGCTCGTGGGCCTTTTCAAGGTCTCTGAATGGGTGGTTTCCAGTCAGTGGGGGTGACATTATACAACTAAAAATATATAGTGAATTTGAACATTTAATATTATTTTTACACTTTAGGATAAAAAGGACCACGTTCATGCAAATAAGTTAAAAATATATACCAGCAATTTATTCCAAATTTAAAATTTATAATATAATAATTATTATTATCATTATCATTATTTTGATTGTTATCTAAAGAATTCACCATGTTTCTTCTTAGCAACGTCCCATTCCAAAATATTCCTGATGGATTTGACAGAAAGATCAGACCATGAAAGCTGGGTTACTGAAATGGTCAAAAATCTACCAGCATCATCTAATCCAGAGGTTCTCAAACTGGGGTCCCTGGACCCCCAGGGGTTCGCGAGAAGTATCTTGGAGGTCCTCAAAAATTTTTACTAAAAAGATAATTTGGTTTTTATTTTTAAAAATGCATGGAGAACAATGAACTGATAAAACAAACATAATAAACATAATAAAAATATATAATCCCATGGCATTTAGGGGT